AGAATTGCAAAGAAAAAGGAACTGAGTTAGACTGCAGTGTTACATACTCTGTCAAATAAAAAACCCCTCATTAAATATATAAAATGAGGGCTCACAGAGAATATAAGACTGTCAAGCGAGCAATTGTTGACTCTTGTTTGTTAAACATTTTCGGAAAATATTTTGGTATAGGGCTGAAAATTTCATGTAATTTGAATGCATCTAACCGAAGATCGATTTTTGAGGATGTGGAGGAGAATTCAAACAAAATTAAAATACATCAAAATTTACAAAATTAATTCTCATTTTTCTTGTTTACAAAGATTAGAATTTTTTCATTAGCATATACTCTGAATTGATATTCTTAATCGTATTTACATAAACATTAGTTAAAAAACATTTTATCCAAATGCATAGTTAAACAACTAATTAATCAATGCTGGATGTGAAAAACAAAAGAAAAAAAACAAATCATTGTTTATTTGTTCGATATGTGGTTGATAATCGAAATGATGCAGTGTTTTCTTTAAACTGTCTAACTGTTACTTAATAAATGATGTATTAGTTTCATTTTCTCCATATAATTATAAATCGATGTACATTTTGATTTTGTTTATTCTACGCTAGCAATTATAAAAACATATTTGACTCTATATTCTGAATCATCATGATTAATTATACTTATTGTTAGATTTAGACGATGAAATAACAATGACTATTATTCCTTATCATAATTTTATCATACAATGAAAATTTGCAATTTTACAAATAATCCTTAAAGTTTTTTTCAAACTCAATTATGATGAAACCTTTGGGAAAACGTAAAAAAAAACATTGAATTCAAACTGAAAATGCTATTCTTGTAATGAAGATCATTTTTATTTAAGATTGTTTTCTTTTATAGAACCATAAATATCACATTTAAACATACATTTTTTTTTGATATAATTTATATCCTCCAATTTTCATTAATTTAAAATATATATAAATAAAAGAAGTTATTTTTAAGTCTTGTAGAATAAATAATACAAAGATTTACTTAATAAACAGAATTTATATGCATTAATTAACTAAAAAAAGTTTGTTTGCATCTTTTCAATTGATAATCTAATCAAATCTATGAGAAATTCAAGTTTATTATATAATATTCTTTATAAATTATTTATACTAAACCTTCTAGATTAAAAAAAACGTGTGCCTCATCAAACATAGACTTCTTATATTAATGCTTCCGTTGGCCTTGATTGTGTCAAGAATGTTGCCAGGAAAAACAAGGTTGCGTTTATAATTTTATTTCATTATGTGATGCATTTATGGTTAATTATGTAACAGAAAAAGAAAATGTCGTTATTTATAGATTTTTTCCTTTTTGAACTGAACTATGAAAGTTTATATAATTATATACAGGTATGTTTCATTATACTAAATGTTAATACTTTAATAAGTATGCAATTTTTTAAGTGTCTTCTTGTTTATTGTTAAAAATAATAAATAATATGAATTAACTTCTTTATTTCAATACTTCACATAGATACCATCATTAACGAAACAAATTTTATTGAAGATAAATATCTTTTGTACCTAAGTCATATAATTAAATACTGATTTCTTTATGTGATAAAAAAATAAACTATAATATGAGTATATTTTTGCTTGTGTTTTTTTTCTCTACAAATCAACAAAGTATATGTATATTTAAATTTCAAAATAGTTTTATTATCATCACGTGCAGACAAATTTTTCACTTAAAAAAAGGTGACCTAAACCTTTCTTATCAGTTACTTGCATAAACTACGTTGCAGAAAAATAATAACCATAGAAAGAAAAATAATATCTGAATGATAAAGCAAAAAAGTGCGACTATGTATAAGCGTATGATTAAGAAAAAAAGAAAGAACGGAAGAATAGTTTGATCTTTTCCTTCTCGCGCCACTTGCTACTTGTTCTTGCATTGAGTACATTTTACATTTTAGCGGAAAAAAAAAGAAAAGAAGAAGAACGGTAATCTGCACTACTCGTTATGGTGCAAGTCATATAGTAATGCTTTATCTTATTTTACAGTACATGTTCTAATTTTCTTTTTTCAATTATTACTAACCACAATCGTCATGGACTAATACAGGTAAAGTTTTTATGAGTCGGAGTCAATTTTTTTACCGAGAAAAAAATTTGTTGGTTCAAGAGTAGATCCATTCACCAAACGACTCGATGTCTATGTGTTTGTTGAATTAGAATATAAGTCATGGTTAAAATATGCTTCATAAAATTTATTTCACGTGACATTCACTTGTTTTTTTTTTTCTTACATTGATATAAATCATAATAGAGCATTCCTCGCCTAACCTATACATTAGAAGCAAGAATAATATACTTTGTAAAAATGGATTTATTTTTTGCATGAGTTATTCAGTAAACAAATAACATGTAAGAATGAAAGTCATTTTTGTTTTGACTTAAGTGGTATATAAAAAGTATGATTAAACATTTCTTTTGCAGTAATTACTATAGTAAGTGAACAGGAAATCATGCCACTTCAATAAAGATAACTTCTACTCTATTACTTTTTTTAAAATTGGCTTTTAGTTGTTAATAATGTCTGAAATATTTATTTTAATTAGTATTCATACGAAAAAAGATTACAAAATTCAAATTTATAAGATAAAATCAAGAAAAAGAAAAAAGATAAAAATTTTGAATTTAAAATTAATTTTTTTCTCAGGTCATTCTAACCGAAAAAAGTCTGAGTATAATCTAGATTCAAGTTTTTTTCATTCCTTTCGATTTGCGTTTTTGTTTTGTATTGAAGTATTTTAATTTAAGAAAACTAATAGACATGTATTATTCAATATTTTATTGACTGAAAAATTGCCTTTTTAATTATGCTTCTCAGACGCGAATAAATTATCTATGTAATAAATAGAAATCGATTGAATTTTTTAGTTTGCAGAATCTCTTGCTGTATGTCCTTTTTATTGTCAATAAGGAATACATCAATTTTTATGGAGTCAGTATGACATTATTTTTACAGAACAATAGAATACAGCATGGTAGCAATATGATTTGTTTTTGTTGCTAAGTGCTAATATTCTCTGCAAAGATAACTTCAAAAATATGTGTAGCATTTTAAAATGTATTCATCATTCGGGTCAGTACAGTTTTACTTTTTTAATATTTGCACCACAGAATAAAGGATATTTTGTGCGCGATAGAATCATTTGTTGTTCGACACAATTTATGTTTTTGTCACATTTCAATCGAGACGAAGAGAGAAAAAAAACAATCTGGTTACTTAAATATATCTACATTTACCGTTTTCACATTACTCTCACGTTGTTATGAAACCGAACAAAAAGGTAAATTTTACTACTTCAAATGAAAATATTACGTTGAATATTCATGCTTGTTTTTTCATTATTACTAATCATCTATAATTATTATTTTCATGTTTATATAGTATTCACATGAATATGTTATAGATGTGGTGTAATGTATCCTGAATTTCTTTTTCATGGTACAACAGAATATTTCATTGTTTCTTTTCTTTTCATTTTTGTTACATCTTCATATAACGTTGTTGAAATTGCTCCATCTAGTACCACAAGAATCTGATTATACTCTTACCGTATATACGGTTATAACTAGTTGTACATTTTGAATCAAGTGTAGAATCAACATAATTTGTGAAATATTGACATAGGAAAGTTAAAAATTGAATAGTGGAAAAACGAATATTTTTTGTTATTATTTCTTGTTTTTTTTTGGTAGACGCTACTACTTGTGAAGATTAGAAAACTTTCCACACTCGTGTGAAAATCCGTGCATGTTAAGAAACACGTGAACATTTTGCGTTTCTTAAATTTCGATATTTAAAAGAAGAATTTTTCGTCTGCTGAGAATATTGTCGACGCAGCAGTATTCATAGCTCTGCTTCCAAAAAAAAAAAAAAAAGAATTGAGTTACGTGTTTGTGTAATGTGCTGAAAATGTTTATTAGGCACGTACGCTCTTAGGCATTGAAAGCGAACAACATTTTTATTAGTAGCTTCTACTTAACCTAGTTCGAGTTTTTGTACCGCAATTCTTCAGTTATAATAAAAGAGAATTACTTCAAGTCATTATTGACGCACATGCCAACATTTAATTGCGCGCAATTCGTGAGTTCCTCAAAAAATGTTTTCTGGATTTATTCTCATGAAAATTTCGTATTGTTTGCCATTGACGGCGACGAAATTGTTGATATTTTTATAAGAATTTAAATCTGCTGCACAAATATATCAATCTAATTAAATTTATGAAACCTAGGTCTAGCATACGCTCTGATTACCTAAAGGGTTATAAGTCTGCTATCGATTGACTCCATCACAATATCTTTCATTCACTTCTCTTTTGTAACATGAAGGATCAATCAAAAATACTTGTTCGCATTATGCAAAACAAGCGGTTAACGTGCGATGCACAGTAGCCAAAATCGACTATGTTTGCCATGAAGAAAAAGACGTAAGAAAAAGAATGAAATATATATGTTTATAATATATTTACATCCCGTTCGTCTTCCTACCCATCGATTGTATTTTGTTATTCTCTTTATTCTAGCTCCTAATTTTCTTTGTCGACCAATACATTATTTCTATCAATATCTGATGTATTTGATGTTCTAAAGAATATATCTATTTGTCGAATGATCACGTGGTAAAAGCATAGGCTTCTTTTCTTTTATATTTTCAGTTGAAAAAAAAACATTCAGTATAAAAACCAAAAC